GACGATGCCGTTCAAGTGGAGGTCGTCTCAAAAGAAGAAACTATCGAGCTTTTGCGTACCGTGAAAACCACGTGCAGTGTTGGTCCCGATGGTCTTTCATCGTCCCTTCTGAGATATGGGGCCTATTCTCTCAGTGAAATATTCACATCATTTTTGAACAATTCCTTAAAAACCTGCTCTATACCAGACTGTTGGAAACCGGTAACAATTGTTCCTATTCCCCAATCCTCTTCAAACGTTTTCGTTCCATTGCTTTAACCTCTGTTGGACTTAAGCTAGCAGAACGTGTTGTTCTTAAGCGCCTTCAGTCCTCCATCGATGTCCGATATGAACCAAACAGAGGCACGCTGGATGCAGTTTCCTTTCAAATAAAATTACCAAATCCTTGAATGACTCTGCGAAATCTGTCCGGTGTGTTTCTGGACTACTCATCTACTTTTGATTCTATTCCCCGTTCCCTTCTTCTTCATAAACTAGAGACCTTTGGTTGTCCTAGACAGTTATTAGCTTCGCTTGCCGATTAATTCTCCTGGAGAACTCAGCGTACCAGGTTAGGTCGAAAGAAATCCAAACCGTACTCCAGTACTCCAAGGTGCAGTTCTTTCCCCATACTTATTTTCTACATACATTAGTGACTTGTCTGCTTGAGCCCCTACTTCTCTCATCAAGTATGCTGATAGTGTGGTCTTGTGTCAGGCCATCTCTGACTCTTCTGGTCTTTCACAATTTTTTGACAACTTGGATAACGTCCAACGCTTTTCCGCCACATCTGGCTTATCTCTTAATCCCTCCAAATGTTCCGAATGTCTCTTTACACTATCACACTCTTCTTTCCCATCTGAACCGGTATCGATTGGTTCCGAACCAGTATCCCGGGTAAACTGTATTAAATACCTGGGCGTTTTTATTGATAATAATATTCACTGGACCTTTCACATTCAACACATTGTCAGTAAGCTTCGACGACTTTCTTTTCATATCCGTAAACTTCGTCAGTTTCGTATTCCACAATAAATTATTTCCAACTTTGTGTATCAGTGTGTTTTCCCTGTTTTACTTTATTGTTCACCCGTTATTTTTCCTAACCTCCTTAAGAAAGATTTGAATTTGCTTCCACGTGGATTGACCATCATTAGCCGTGCCTCTTAAATCCCACTAAAGGAGTTGATAACTAACCAATGCGAACGTCAGTTGAATGAATGTGAAAAGTTTACGCATAAGATTCTCATCCACTCCACATATCCGCTACACGCTGACCTAACTTCCTGTTGTTCCCATCCCTCAAGTAGATCACAATATCGTTGTGTTCCCTCTAGAATAAGCATTTATCGTAACTCCACAGTACCCTCATTAGCACGTATTCTTTTTAACAAAGAACAGGTTTTCACAGAATTTGTTAACAGTTTTGGAACTTAAATCTCTTTTTTCATTGTTATTTTCATCTTCTCCCTTGCTCCAAACTGTATATTTTTTAACTGAAATGTGGGCTTCATGCTTGCAGAAGTTATTATAATACAATACAATACAATCGTTGATCTACTTAGCATCGTTCGACGGTTCCTAGGTGGTGCTTTAGCTCATTCATATCACAGACATCGACAGCTGGATGAAACAGACAATTAAGACTAACTGGAATAGAAATCATCTAAGTCACCGTTTAAACCTTTGAACCGATTCCATAACAGATCTGTGTATCATCCTGATATGAGTGACTGTTTTCGTGAAGGCTTGATGTTATCGGATGCGGTAAACATGATTGTAATATATTAATTCTGTACCAAAAAGATATTTAATCACCTGCTGGAAAGTTGTGATGTTTTGGTGAGGGAATTTCTCGACCACGGCGGGTAAAGATTAGCCGCAATCTGAGGAAGCCTGGCTGGTTTACAGAAATTGTAAGAAACTTTTCGTAAGAATAACCCATATGAGTTGCCAGACTATCGTGTCCGTTAGGACACATTCCAACTCGTCGTCTCGAGAATCTGAGTTATGCATCGGCGGTCCCACACCGGCAAAGCGCCTCACAGGCAGGCTAAACAAGAATGAGGGTAACCGAAGCCTAAAACCCCCGGGCCAGGCAACATGTGACGACAGTTCATCCCCGGTGATCGAACAAGATTTACTGCCTGCACGGACGACCGTAAACGGAAGATGATCAACGTACAGAGATGAATGGATCCTTGGGTTGCATCCAAAACTGTCAAATGGTGAATGAGTTCCTAGTTCCTCCGTTAACTCCCGTCCTGTAGCCCACAATTGAGTGTGCGCCGGTTATAGGTATGCCCTCGATTAAGAAGCCAGGTAAAGCTGGAGACGTTTCTTGTAGCAAACTCAATGAAAGTTCGTGAGCTTCATTAAGCGGGTTTACCCGCTCCATAGGAAACCTAGGTGGAAGACAAGATTGGCTTATACGATTGCAATCACTTTGCGGAAAATTTTCGCTGGAAACAGATGGATCGTATCACCCAGGGAAGGGTCAGTGGTGCTCGTGTGAATGGTCTGGACTTACTTCATCGGTGAAGAGTAATCATAAGTCATGAGACTGAAATAGTCCACATGGTTGTACAACTGATNACTGATCGAAATGGGTCTTTGTGAAACGACCGGGAAAACCACTGTAAAAATAAACAGTGTGGTTTATATGAAGTAGGATAATTACCCTCGATAAAAGGGAGGTGGGATAACGAGTATGAATAGCTTTTTGGCATCGTGCAATCCACGAGAAAGTAGCTTGAGGAAATCTATGATATCCCTGATTACAGAAATCTGCGTGAAAACTTAGAAGCAACTTACTTATCACTCACACCGGAAAATTGGGACCAAATCTCTATCACGGCACCATCTAGATTATAATTCTAGCAAATTGAAAGAGAAACGAGGAAAACCGTTAAACGACTTGGAGCGATCAAAAAAAAGAAACACAGGCTAAATAATGTGGAAATGAGATTCGGTAAAACTCCTGAACTAAACAGACTAGTTAGTCAGTTCAACCGGCTCGATGATCACACAAGACCGTCTTGTATCAAAGATATTGAAGAACGAAGATACAAAGAGAAAAGGGCGGATGTGGCTGAGATACTCTGATTCTGGTATGGAGTTTGGGTCTGTGAACCATCGAGGAAGTAAAGAAAATTTGTCTCCATATACTTTGGAGGCTAAAAACAAGCAAAGCAGGCGGTAAAACTATCGATGCTACACATTTCACATCATGATGAATCTAGACGATCGACTGGGTAAACGAAGATCTACTGGTCCCTATATCAATCGCAACTTTGCTCGGATTATAAGACTGATTGCTATGAATCTGTGATGTGCACTTGGGCTTTCCCGATTTCTGCTTGGCCAATGGTATATTCCGCGCGATGCNCACAAGTATGCGTTACAGAAAACGAGCTTGTTCATCACCATTTGTTGTATGCCCAGTGTGCTTTGAACAACTGTTTGGACGATTCAAGCAAGCTGAGGACCCCCATCGAACTAGAAACATAACTCTGAACGCACTTGCAGCTTCAGAGAATTAGAGGCTCCTTAAACACTCTGCGGTGTGCACGTCTCTCTGATTGCTGTTCGCCTATATTGTGCATTGTTAATAATCCATATTTTTGAATCTTAGTTTCCACGATAAATTGATAAACGAGTACTGGCCACATTCTAGACCAGTGACCTTTGAATTTCGGAACGGTGAGTGTTTGGTCACAACTCACCAGACAACACTCTTTGTGAGGAACTCGTAGTCATCAATTTTTATTCCCGCTTGTGCTGTCTGAGTACACCACACTATATTGCTTTATTGCTAGTTTCAACATATCTATTCAGCTCTCATATGCATCAGCTTTGCTGTCGTTGGTCTATCCGTCTATCCGATGACGCAGGAGTAAATAGAAGAAATTCAAGCACTCCAATTAAAATAGAGATACACAAAGCAAGTGAATCAGATCTGTTCAGAAATAAAAATGTGAACGACTCCCACCTCTTACCTTTCATATTTGGGCTTTCTTCTCGTGCTGCGCGCAAGGTTGATTTTTATTTCGCTCAAGATCCTCTTGCATCCCATCTCATTTTCTTCTACGGCACAAAGCTCAAATACGCCTGCACTTGAATACTATAGTCACGTGTGGGGTGAATCTTCGTCTTCTCTTTCCCTTCTTGATTGTGTTCAACGAAAGGCCATACGGCTAATCGATGATCCTTCCCTAACATCCAGTCTGTAGTCACTAGCCCATCGTCGGGCAGTTGCTTGATTGTCCCTGCTCTACCGTTACTTCTTTGGAACTTGTCTCGGCAATTCCTCTTCTTGCAAATTTTACCCACCCGTCCCGCAAACAGGCATCTAGTCATCCCTATCAGATTTCAGTTCCCAGATTTTGTACATACTTGCTTCAATCTTATCTTTCCCCCGAACTGCCAAATTGTGGAACACCCTCCCACTTTCTGTTTCCCCAACTTACAACCTTATACTCTGAACGCAAAATCAATAAACTAGATCTTAAGTGAGTATTCCCCTGATCTCCTTTTTACGGTATGCTATTTGTCAATGGGGATTTCCCCTCTTACTGTAATTCACATTGTGTAACCCAGTGTCACTAATCATTGATTGAGTTGTGCAGGCTATCCCAACCTGGGAGTTTTAACCAAAAGCGCAATTCAGGGGTTTCATATCTTTATATTAGGCCTCATTCTGACCACTTCTAAGCTGTCTTTCATTTACTATTTACCGCAGTACAAGTATCGTACGATGAGGAAGCCTATCTGGTAGCATGCGTGACGCGCCCCGGTCAATGTAATCTATGGAGAGCAGGAACTTGCGTCAGTGCCTAAACAGCATTTTCGAAAACTCTGCGCCTAACCTTGGCATTGCTTATCCAGTTAGCCAAACAGATTCGCACTATATGACTTACACAACGCTGTTTGAGCACAAATAGTCTATCTTTATCCTGTTACCGTAAAAATTACATCTCTACACTATACAACAGCGCTGACCGAACTGCTACATCAAACACTCAACCATTCACGGATACTCGAATACTGTGAAGGCATCCGTGATTCAATAACCAATTTAAGTTAACAGAAAGTAGAAATTCAAGGCCCATTATATTGCGCTCACTGAAAAGTCGTCAATATATAAAAAAATTAATCGCCCGGTAACGCATGGAAAGAGTACGGAGAAAATCTTACATTCAGTACTCGCAGTATACCATCCATGCACGCTTTCGTTTTACTGCTATCTTTCAGTGTGAGAGAGTAGTCCTCTGCAGTCCAGTCTTCAAATATGAAACGTGGGACGACCTTGACTGTCGGGTTCCGATGATGAAGTCGTCGAATCCAGTCTGAATACAGTAAATCACATCCATACACGCTTACCGCTATCGACGTTTGGTATCCCACTCACGGTGTATGACTTCTTCCGTCCCAGGATTTGGAACCAAACAGGAGAGATGAGATCGAACTTTGGAGTAAAAATTTCCGCGACTTCATAGCCTAGTTTGTTCCACTTTGTGAAGATAGGAGGAGGTAAATAGAAAATACCGGAGTGACATAGACCAACGATACTGCATGGAACTCTTTTTGATCCACAGTATATTTATTGTAAGCCGAGTGTGAATCTATAAACTGATCAACATCGATGTCTTTTGATGGGTGCAGAGGTTGCTGAATGAGAAAACCAAATAAGAACTGCGTAATTCACTTACCTCGGAACACAGAGTTAGTGTCAGATATGATAGCAGAAACAGATACTCGGACCCGAGATGCATACAGAATTAGACGACGGAGACCTGATGGGAGGAAAGTAATATAAAAAAATTACTCCGAAACGATCAACCTATGGATAAAATAGAAATCATCATTATCATCGTGCAGCGAAATGCAGTGAAGCAAACTTCGATGATCGCTGTCAAACTCGCAATGCATACACGCGTTTTCCTCCAGCACGGATTAGCTACAGCGAATAAGGCGCGGAGGAGCAGAAGACAGCTGGGCATACGCAATACGTGCCCTAGCCAGCGAAGTCTACCAATCTGAATTCGGTGTGCCAGTAGGTTTATACCTGAGAGACTGCCAAACACACTTACCTTTGCGTTACTAACCCGTTCGCTCCATCCAACATGGGCTAAACTACGTAAACACCGATAATCGAAAACTTCCAGTCAACGAATATATTTTACTCGCAAATTAAAGGTGTCACAACCATAAAGCAGAACTGAACGAACGGCGGAACTATATACACGGTCTTTCAACTTCGGTGAAACGTCGCATCTACACCAAAGGTGTTTCAGTCCTGCGCATGTTGCTCGAGCCTTGAAAATGCGGTTGGATATCTCTTTTGCTGCGTTACCGTCATTGGTCACGCAACTACCTAAGTAGGAAAAGTAATCCACCACAACTAAATCCCGGCCATTTGGTGTCAGAATAGGAGTAGACGAAACCCAGTTCTGCAGCATCACTTTGAACTTTGAAGGTGCAAAGCACATACAGAATGTGGCAACAGCACTTGTAAGTCTATAAAGTGTGCTTTGCGCGTCCTCCAAACATTGGAACAGACAGACGATGTCATCAGCATACTCTAAATGGCACAGCTTTTCTCCAGCTGCCCATACAATATCTACGTTTTGCAGTCGACTTGGTGCGTTTTCAGGGAACGGCGAAAGATGGCACCTTTGACGAACGGCCTACTTAGTTCGTTGTAAACCCTTACACGACCGGAGGTATGTGAGTACAGTGACCTCATAGGGTAAAGTATTTCTGGGGCATTCCTTTTCGAAGAAAGGAGCCCATCAGAGCTTCCCGGTCAACTGAGTCGAAGGCTCCTTTCAGGTCAAGAAATACTGCGATCGTTGGCTGACAGTGGGTGTGACGCAGCTCAAGGACCTGACACAACGCAAAAATTTGATCAATACATCCACGGCCAGGTCGGAATCCGGCTTGCTGTTCATGGATGTTGGTCTCTCTTAAAGGCGTCAGACGTCGAAGTATAACCGAGGCTAGCACTTTGGTGACGATCGGGATCAAACTTATCCAGCGGTGGTTATCCCAACCGTTGCGGGATCCTTTCTTAAAAATGGGAACGATCAGTGACTCGCCCCAAGATGAAGGAATGTGTTCTTGAGTCCAAATGTTGTGCAGTAGGGTGTTAATATAGCTTACAAAGTTATCACCCCCATCTTGAAAAGAGTGGGAGGGTGCTCATCCGGTCCTGCTGCCTTTCCTCGCTTCAGAGCTTGAATGCAAGACCGAACTTCTGCTTCTGCTGGAGGATCGCTTGACATTACCCACGGAGCTTGAGTTGCAGATGAAGCAGCCTGGTTAGCACTAGGCCAGCTGAACTGTTCGCTGAAGTATTCCACCCAGCGATCAAGTTGTTCATCCCTATAGGGAATAACTTGTTCCAACTTATTGCAGACTGTTTCACTACCTGGAGTTCGCCGACTTCCCGTATTGCGTACCAGTCGGAATAGTCTTTGACTGTTCCCTGATGCAGCTGCTACTTCACTAGCTATCCTGGCCCACCAGTTCTCACGGTCCTTCTTGAGGCTCTTCGTGAGCTGATGTTGCAGGTGCCACCTAATTCTATTTTGATCCCTGCAGGTCGAGATTCATTGTTTTTTTCCATCAAAACTACTGAGTCCTTGGATATCCAATACCTCCGACGGGTTTCAGGCTCAAGCCAACAAGCTACATTCGTTGCGGAATGCATTGCTCGCCTGATCTGATCCCACTGCTCATCTATATCATCACGTTGAGGCGCGCTCAGCTCACGCACTAGCTCTGATTCATAGAGTGCAGGAACTACTGGAAAAGATAGTCCATGATGAGCTATACGAGTTTGCTGGTTTTGTCGCCGACCAGTCAGTCGGAGAGTGAACTGGCTCAAAACTAATGCGTGGTCAGACTCAACGCAAGTGGTCCAATAGGAGCTGCAGTTTTTTAATGAACCACGCCAACGGTAGCTTACTGCTATGTGGTCGAATTGAATTAGCGTACCAATTGAACTGGAGCGCCACGATGTCGACCATCGAGAGCTGTGTCGGAAGTTGGTGCTTGATAGGAACACAAGGTCTGCGCAGAACTGAAGAAGTCGATCGCCATTATTTGTTCGTTGGCTTGGCAGAGCACAACCACCGCCTAGGCAAGATTCTGATGTGTCCAGTCTTCCAAGCTGTGCGTTGAACTCACCTGCAAGTACAACCATGTTGGAGCTTCGACCCATCAGGATGAGATCGGCGAATTCATCGTGGAAAGCGTCCCTTTGTATATCAGAACTGCAACTGGTCGGTGCATGTGCCGATACGATGAACAAACACCTTTTGTTGTCGTTTCCTTTCCAGACGCTGATTGAACCCTGGAGGCGCACTGAACATAAACGACTACTGACGGGGATCCAATCGATAAGAGAGGACTCCGCCCTGTTACGGAGTACAATACCTACCCCGCGCTAACCTACTGAATGAGCTTCATCGTTGCCCGATGTGCAAAGAACTTATCTCGAAGACAAACCTGGCGCGCTCGAATGGCTTATAGCAGTAGGATCCTGGATTCGAGTCTCCGACACGCAGCAAATATCGATCCCTAAGGATTCCATTATACGCGTCGGACAAGCTTGTTGACCGACCTGTATCAGGGTCCGTATCTTG